TGGGGCACCAGACTCGATTGTCTCTGACCGCGGCCCTCAGTTCACATCAAACTTCTGGGATGAGTTCACAGGAATTCTAGGCATAAAGTTGAAACTCTCAACAGCACATCACGCACAGACAGATGGGCAGACAGAGGCAACAAATCAGTATATTGCCACGAGCCTTCGCCCATATGTTAATTACTATCAAAATGACTGGGATGAGTGGTTACCCATTATAGATCATGCTTCTGCAGCCACCTCAAACACCTCCACTGGGATCTCCCCCTTTCTAGCTGCAAATGGATATGAGCAATGAACATCATTTGACTGGAGGCCCCTGCCAAGGGAACTAAGGGCAGGGGAGAGGACAAATCGAAGGGCTGCTCAAAACTTTGTTAAACAGATGAAAGAGATCTGGGAGTGGGCAGGCAAGGGCATGAAGGCAGCACAGGAACAGATGAAGAGGCAGACTGACAGACATCACCAGGAACCTGACTTCACAGTGGGAGATTTTGTCTACTTGACATTGAAACCATACAGAATTGACCGACCAAGCCGTAAGCTGGCAGCACAGAACACAGGCCCCTTCAGGATCCTAGAGAGGGTGGGCAACGCCTATAGACTGGACCTCCCCACAACCATGAAAATTCATCCAATCTTCTCCCCAGACAAGCTGCGCAAAGATCCAAGAGACCCCCTACCAGGGCAGGCTGTCAAACCACCAGATCCAATTGAGATAGATGGAGAAAATGAATGGGAAGTGGAGCATATATTAGCCAGTCGAATAAATCGAGGCAAACTGCAATATCAAGTCCACTGGAAGGGATTTGATGAGGACTCATGTTGGTACCCAGCTCATGACTTCAAAGGATCACCACACGCCATACGCGACTTCCATGAAGCTAACCCTACAAAAGCCGGACCCCCAAGGCGACTAAATGAGTGGCTGAAGGCATGGGAGACAGACAGCTACCTGAAGGACGAGGTTGATGACGACCTACCAGCATGAGGACATGCCTGTCCCTAGACCGGGGGGTGATGTTAGGCTCAGCGCCCGACCGAGCCCGACCGAGGCCCGGTGCCCGGTTAGACTCGATGTCGGATTAAGCTCGGCGCCCGATTAGGCCAAATATTCTCACGTGATCAAACGACCATGCGGGTGGTTATAACCCGGGCAGGCCCCAGCACCTCTTTCACCCCATCAAGCTTAGTATTTCGTTATATAGCAGTTAGCAACGCAGAGAGTTTCCTTCTTATGCAGCTCGCATTCGCTCCCTAACAGATATATTCTACTTCAATTTCAAACTAGTCAATCTAAATAGAAAACTTTTACTTATCTTACTCAAAATCAATCAAAAGTAGTATAGAATTTAGTTAAAAAACCTGTTTTTGCACAAATAGTTGCTATCACTATTACTACTTTTGCTCAGTAAGCGCTTCTAAAGGTCTCAGAGGGAAAAAAAAGTTTAAAATTAAAGAAAAAAAAAAGCTTTAAAATAAAAAAAGCTACATCAATCAAAGAAATAATATTTTATTCTAAAGCTCTTAAATAGAGAAATAATAAGCTAATTTTAGAGTTCACAAATGATATTTAAATTAAGAAATAAGTTAAATCAAAGTTTGTTCTCAGTAGTAATGAATAAAAAGATAATTTAATACGTACAAGCAATTGAATAGATAGAATAAATCATGTCTGATTCTCTTCTAATAAAATGAGCAGATGCTCTACTATATATACACACTATAATTGCTCTATATAATAGGAGTGATTGCATAAAATAGAAAATATAAAAAAGATTATATCCTCTGAGTGAATTAGAGAAAGGCAAATAAAGAGTAAATATTAATATAGAGAGAGGTGGAAAAATAGAGACAGAACATCACAGATAACAATAGAGGCAGAACATCATAGTTTCTCTGTTTAAAAGAAGAAGTTCAAATAATTTTTTTTATTTATTTTTATGTACTATTTTAAGTTTTCTTTTGTTAGTTATCATAATTGAGTTCATAATTCTTTTTTTTAATTCTCTTTTATTTATTTTTTATTTTTTGCATAGTCATGCTGAGAGAATATAAAAGATCTATTCTTAGTTTAATATCTCTCTCTCTCATACTTGAGAAGTTGCTGTTGTCAATCTCTTCAGATATGTCTAGCAGCCAGCTTATTATCATGTATATATCTGTGAAAATCATCTAGATGTTCTATTAATATAAGAAGAATGATCATTACTAGACTACTCTTCAATCCCTCTCACAAAAAATACTTATTAAATGAGAATTACAATTTCTATGCTTGATTTCAAATCTTTTCTTTTGAAAGCTAGAACTCACTCTGTAGCTTATTAATTGTTATCACAAGTGACACTGTCATCTCATTCTAACATTCAGATAATAGCTCATTGTGTCACTTCAGAGCTCTCTTTTTGAGAAATAGAAGAATTACTCTGAGAATTGCTGTCTTCTCTTTCAGAATTATCATGAACTTTAATTCTGATGTAAAAGCAGTCATGTCTATTTTGTCTGAGTTGTAAAGCATGAGATCTGCTGCTTGAAGCCTTACTGACTACTTCTAATCATATAAAGAGATAGCAATTCCATCTTGAATACTTGTTATTGAAAATGTGAATTAATCATATCTCTCAGCAGTGAATTGATTATCTTACTTTATTCTATTGTCTTTCACATTATATGTGTAATGCTCTATGCTGGCAGTTTTATCATATTCTAGATTGACTTTATTATATAAAATTGACTCTCACAGATAACTTATTACTTTTAACACTTCTTGACTAACTCCTCTCAGGCCTGGTCTTGTAATAGATGAGTGAGTGATGTTAATGTGCTCTGAGCAGATCTTATAAATGATTAGTTCCTCCTTTCACTCATTAAGAAAAAACTCATAAGTACAGAGCTGAGATTTCAGATTCATTACTCAGTTCTCTCACTTCTTTAACTGCATATCAAGATCTGTCAGATCTCATGAGTGATTAGTTTCTCCTCCCACTTATTGAGAAAAAACTCATGAGCACAGAGCTGAGATTTCAAATTCATCACTCAGTTCTCTTACTTTTTTAACTGCATATCAAGATCTGTCAGATCTCATAAGTGATTAGTTCCTTCTCCTACTTATTGAGAAAAAACTTATGAGTATAGAGCTGAGATTTCAGATTCATCACTCAGTTCTCTCACTTCTTTAACTGCATGTCAAGATCTGTCAGTCTGTTCTCTTGCTCTCTCAATCATATATTGAGCTCTTTGAGCTTCTTTATAATATTCAGTATTACTTTCTCATTGTAGTGATCATCTTTCATAACTGAGTTATTAAAATCTATAAAGACAGAAGTGATAGATCTCTAATCTCTGATGTGCTTGATGACTTCTGTTCTGAACATCTTAATTCATTGATGAAAGACAGTTATTCATTCTGCTACTGGGATTTCCTGTATTGTTGCACTTATCTTATTATATCATCTCACAGAGGCAGTGAATAGCACCCTCTCTGCCTTGAGACAGTCATAAAGAGTGATCAACAGTTGTAATTCTGTGTATTGATCACTTTTGTTTCTCCACACTTCTGTGATTGATATTGTGTACTTTTCTATAAATGTTTATATGTATTGATAGGAACTGCTGTGATGAATATTCTCATCAGTACCTTGCTTCTTGCTAGCTAATCCAATGCCCTCTGATCTTGTTGAGAATTCAGAAGTCATTAAAATGACAAGAGCATTCAAATGACAAGAGCATTTATCTTTGACATTTTATGAGGCAGTTAAGGTGGTTATTTAGAGGCAATTGAGGCCTGACTCAGAGGATGGTACCACAGCTAATGCCTTTTTTTTTTTTAAGGGTGATTGGACTAGTGATTACAAATCAGAGCAACTAGTGATTATGATTTAGAGTGACTGATTTAGCAGATCTTGGACCTTTTAGAGAGACATGGACATGCTACCAATTTGATGCATACAAGCAATTAAATAGGTAAGATAAATCATGTCTCATTCTCTTTTAATAAGATGGGCGAATGCCCTGCTATATATATACACACTATAATCACTCTATATGGTAGGAGCAATTGCATAGGATAGGAAATATAGAAAAGATTGGGGCCCCTGAGTGGATTAGAAATGGGCGAATAGAGAGCGGATATTAATATAGGGAGGGGGCAGAAGAATAGGGGCGGAACACCACAGATAATAATAGGGGCGGAACGCCACAAATACTGTTAGGCTCAGCGCCCGACCGAGCCCGACCGAGGCCCGGCGCCCGATTAGGCCTAACCCTCATCACGTGACAAGTGACCATGCGGGTCGCCCGATTAGGCCTAATCCTCATCATGTGACCATGCGACCATGCTTGTTATAATCCAGGCAGGCCCCAGCACCCCCTTCTTTTCATAGTTATCATCATATATTAGCTAGTTATTATTATGAATACTACTATCTTATGCCTACAATGTTCTGACTATCGTCACATAGTCCCAGTGCTGCAAGCCCAGGGATAACCCCTGTTCTTGAAAGTTGCCTTGTATGATAGTTAGTTCACTACTGAAGAGCTTGACTGAAGTTCATGTACATGTACACTCAGCAAAACAGCCTCCTCTCATGATACTCATACCTGTGTCTCTCCACAAACAGGATTAACCTTCTTCAACCCCAGTTAAACATGGTGGTGTGACCAGTGAGGAGTGGCTGATCAGAAAGATACTGGACTTACAGATCTGCAGAGGGCAAGTCAATTCTGGAGTACCACATCGTGTGGGAGCCTACCTGGGAACAGCAGAGTGGCCTGATTCCAGGTTGTGAAGAGTTGATCAAAGAATTTCATGCAGAATGAAAAGACCTGACATCATTGACTTCTCTGTTGGGTTACAGGCACTTCAAGCAGAAATACATGTGATGATGAAGCAGAAGAGGAACTATGAGAAACAAACTGGTATAAATCAGACAGTACACATTAAGCAGGCTAACTAACATAAACAATACTTATACATCATAACAGAGTAGTCATTAAACATATTAAGCTTCAATCACTGCTATCGCATCATCATACGCCTTAATAATAGGATCATAGAGTATTTTTGGGTCTTGTGGTGTTCCAACAATCATTCCTTCCTTCCCATAAGGAAACAGCACACCTCGTATGGTCCTGCAGAGATGTTTGACACACTCAAATTCCAGTGGAAACTCCTGCAGAACCAATTCAAATCCACCAGCTTCCATGTTGCCTCGCTTATAAGTTGCAATTTTCACATAAGTTCCAGTATACCATTCTCTCAGCAAGCTGTCTTGTGGCTGTCTCTGTCTCTGTCTCTGTAGCTCATTTAGTTTTCTCCAGCTGTTATGGGCACACTGCCAGATAAGCACATAGAAGAAAGACTCAAGATCATGCCGGTAAGTATGGTTGACATTAAGAAGCACTTCAATTGCCATGAACTCCATTGTGCCAGTCCAGTAGCATGCACCACTTTGCTCACTTCCAACTTCTTTGGCAAGGTCCAGATCAATTAGCATGCCAGAGTGACCATCTGTCTTTTCAGGATTGGTTATTATTATATTGTTCTCTGAAATATCTTGATGAAGGATGTTTCCATCCAGGTAAAGAGACTGATGTGCCTTTATTGCATCACGAAGTGCCATGAGTAGCTCCAAGGGTGATTTGTACTTGTAGATTGGCCGGCCAGCAGGTGATATCACCAGACAGCGGAGAACACAGTTGTCATAGAGTTCCTTGCCATTCCTGTCAAAGAGACTTGGTGTGTGCACTGACTGAATGGAGAAAGTAAGTTCATTGTTCTGCTGAGAGGTCCTCAATGATTGACTGGCAAAATGTGGTTGTTTGGACACCTGCATTCCCTTGCCTGGATATTTGCATTTCCTGGAAGATGTTTGATGAATATTCAAGTGACAGGGCTCAGCAGATGGCTGAGATTGATGAAGTGAGGAGACTCTACTGGAGGTTGCACTTTTGAAGTCATGGTGCTTGTTGTCAAAGGTCAGGCCGCAGCGCATGTCAGCTATGCTGGTGATGGTACTGTGTCCAATAATCCTGGCAATCCCTTGGACGTTTTTTTGAGCTGCTAGCTTGAGGAGTTCCACCTCTGGGCACCACTTATCTGATACCCATGAGAGCTTGGCTACACCCTCCACTTCTCCATCATCTGTGAGAAAACATGTCGTCCCACAGCACACAATGGCATGCTGAAAGGTAAGCATTTCACTCAGCCGCAGTGTCAATTCCTCTGAGGATTCAGACTCTTTGATGGTTATTGATTTGCTGCCATCTTCATTTCTAGCAATAAAGGTGTCCAGTCCCAGCTCCTCATCACTCATCATGGTGTAGCCCACAAACACCTGAAGGAATTGTCTTCAGTCTGTGTTGACATCAATGATGCCTGAGCTGTAGGGGCCTGAGCGGTCAAACACCCACATCTCCATCTTGATCCCGCAGACAGTAAATGCATGAACAAATCACCGGGTGGGTTGAGCTGCAAAGACATCACGCACATAGCAGCTTATCTGCAGCAATGTATCTTTGGCCCTGATCTCCTTCTCTGATTTTTTCAGCTCACCAATCACCAGGATGTCTCTCCAGTCATGTTTGTCTTGTGAGAGGCTTGTGCTTCTAGCTTTCAGAAGAAGGTCAAGTTGCCATTCTGTCTTTGAACCAGTAAGATTTGCTTTGCTCACTGTGGTGCTGTAGATGCTGCGTGATTCTGAGAGAAGGCATTTTTGAAGTTGAAACCACCAGGTAAGGACATCACTCTGCATAGGAGGATCAGGAAACTGGGCCCAGTTCCCATCACTGTCTGGGGCTAGCACATGTTGACAGATGGCATCTGCTTTGTCACTCCAGTCTTTTCCCTTGAAGTACTTGTTGAAGAAGCCCTCAACATTCTGAAATGTGCAGTCGCATATCTCCTCAAAGATTCTCATATTCACCAACTCGCGTGTCTGCTCGGAGTCTTTCTGTGATGATGAGGTTGATTTTACTGGCGTGCCAGTAAAGAAAGGGGGGATGCTTGTCAGTGGAGGAATTGATTGTGAGATAGTAACTGTGAGATCAAGAACAGCCTTCCAAATATCAACATCTGGTGCTTTTTGGATGATGAGCCGCGCCAACAGTCGAAAGTCGTTGTAGTTGAAATCACCCTTGAGAATACATTCATGGATATCTACAAGCTCACGAGCCACACTGTGTTTACTTATTTTAGATTGAAGCTCAACAGCTATCTCTTGCCCCAGAAAAAAAGAAAGAAGTTTTGATATTGCCCTTTGACAGATTTCATCCTTAGGATCAGCTGAGGCATCATATGCTTGCTCTGCCTCCTGAAGTGGGCCTCGCAGCGAATTTAGCGAGTCATTAAAAGGATGCTTTGCAATGATATCAGAATCATGAGGTGAAAGGGTGGTCATATGTGATGTTATGGCACAGGCAGCAATAGAAGAGATAGGGAAGCAAGGGAGTGAATTGAAAAGTTTGTTTAACTGTGTGTCAGGATATCTCAAATCTCAACAGCTAATGTTGTATCAAACTGAGCTGTATATTCCTTGCATCAATGCTATAACTGAGAAAATTAGGTTGTGGGGGTAAAACAAGAACGTGGGAGGCTGACTAAGCGACAAAGCGGCGGTGGCTGCTAACCTACTAAATACGTAAGTTCACGTGACACGGGTAACCGCGGCATTCCTTCCAACATAGTTACCTAATGTAATCAATCACTGTCAGCTAGCCAAGGAGAAAATGCGCATTATTCTCCGGCTCGCTGCGTGGAAAAGGCACCGGAAAATTGTCCTAGGTGCATTGGGTTGTGGTGCAGTCAGGAACCCGCCAGAGGAGGTAGCCAGCTGCTGGGCGGAAGTTTTTGCAGAGCCGGAATTCCGTGGGGGTTGGTGGGAGAAGGTAGTGTTTGCAGTGATAGATGAGACGGGATTGGGGAGGGAAGGGAATGGCAATGTAGGAATATATTTTAGGAGGTTGGATGGAATCGAGATGTAATTCGTGTCTTGTATTTGCTATTTTCATTATCACATGCATGAGCTATGCCAACATGAGGGAACATACTCTTTGTATAGTTACGGCAGGTTATTTTTGCCAAATATAAAACGGGGCCTACCATTTTTTCTTCCACCGTTAAGGGACCCCACAACCATCCGTAGTTTTTGAAGTTGATCCATGGATTGGCCGCCAATGCCGAATGCCGCGCGCGGGGGGTTTGTCATGACGAATGAATACGTTCGGCAACGACCCGTAGTTAAATCATCTCCAAACTCCGACATACATCACCCGCCAACCCGCACTTAGCATCTTGTAACTATCAAAAAACAGAATCTCATTTCGAATTTGTGCGCGACATTGCTGGTTTGCTGGGAGACGTAACGATATTAGATACTCACGGCTGGCGGCCACCACAGTCATTAATTATTACATCATTTTCGGAAGTGTAACTAGTTGACAGGAGAACCCCTCATTTTCCTCCCTGTCACGACGCTATGGGCAGCCTTTCTTCTTAAAGACTCCCCGGCTTCTTCAGTGGTTTTCCAAATGGAGAGATTTCTTCGCCCCCTTTGCAACAATCTATCCCGTCCCGGGGCTAGATATCCATTCGCAATACCCGTGGTTTCTCGCGCAAGGCGGCTCGCAACAATGCACACTGTCCCTCCGGTGAGCACTGGTATATGTCTCTAGTGATCGCTTTTGGAAAACCAGGAACTGACTTACTATTTCCCTTGTATCGATAGTTGAAAGATAAATCTCTTTTGATTGGTAAATGTTATGTCAATGGTGAATGGGTTGAGGCGCAGTCGAGACAAACTTTTGAAGTTCACGGTATGTGTCGGAGTGACGAGATAGAGTCTCTGAATACAATTCAACTATGATGCCTGGTAAAGTTTCTAACGCTTCTCCGGTTACAGATCCATCCACAGGAAAACTCATTGGAACGTGCCCAGAATTCACCGCCGAAGATACCCAAAAGGCCATCGATGCCGCGGTCGCTGCCTTCCCAACCTTCCGCAAAACTTTGTCCCGCGAGCGGGCGCGGATGCTCCGAAGATGGTATCAATTGATGATAGACAATGCGGAGGATATTGCTACACTAATAACATGGGAGAATGGAAAACCTTGGGCAGACGCCAAGGGCGAGGCAAACTACGCTGCTAACTTTTTCGAATGGTTCAGTGAAGAGGCTCCAAGGATCTATGGCGACACCATTCCATCGTCCGTTCCAGGAAATAGAATAATGACCATTAAAGAACCCGTTGGTGTTTGCGGTTTCATTACGCCCTGGAATTTCCCTGCAGCGATGATCACAAGGAAAATCGGCCCTGCTCTGGCGGCCGGCTGTACCGTCGTTGCTAAATCCCCCGGTGAGACTCCATTTACCGCCAATGCAATTGCTGAATTGGCCCATCGTGCTGGAATTCCCAAGGGGGTCGTCAATGTCGTCACAGCGCTGAAAAACACTCCTGAAATTGGCCTTTGCCTTACTACCAACCCCGATATCCGCAAAGTGTCCTTTACGGGCTCCACCGCTGTTGGCAAGCTTCTCATGAAGCAGTCTTCATCAACAATGAAGAAACTCTCTTTCGAACTCGGTGGAAACGCCCCATTCATTGTTTTTGATGATTGTCCTGACCTGGACGCAGCCGTCGCTGGAGCCATCGCCTCCAAATTCCGAAGCTCTGGCCAAACCTGCGTCTGCGCCAATCGTATATACGTGCAAAGGGGGATCTATGACAAATTCGCTGCCAAGTTTGCCGAAAAGGTTAAGGGATTCAAGCTCGGCCACGGGTTCTCTGAAGGTGTCACTCACGGGCCTGTTATCCATTCTCGCGCCATCGACAAGGTATCGGAGCATGTTCTTGATGCTACATCCAAAGGTGCAACCGTTCTCATCGGCGGTGAGAGAGCTCTTGATCTGGGCTCGAACTTCTTCCGCCCTACTGTCCTAAAGGGAATGACGAAGGATATGAAACTGGCGTCCGAGGAAACATTCGGTCCCGTGGCAGGTATTTTTTCCTTCGAAACCGAGAAGGAGGTTGTTGAACTTGCGAATAAAGCTGAGGTAGGATTGGCTGGCTACTTCTACAGTAAGGATATGGGACGTATTTTCCGTGTTGCAGAGGCCCTGGAGGTTGGTATGGTTGGTGTTAATACAGGCATTATTAGCGATACCGTTGCTCCGTACGTTTTCATATTCCATTTCCCCGTTTTTGCAATTCATCGGATTTTCCCTACACACGTTTGGCTAACTGACTGCTCTTCACAGGTTTGGTGGCATCAAGCAGAGCGGGTTCGGTCGCGAAGGCAGCAAATATGGTGTCGATGAATTCCTCACCATCAAGACCGTTACTTTCGGGGGCGCTGGAGGGCCCTTGGAGGAATAACCTGATTTTGCAGCTATTTTTTCTTTTTTCCTTTAATTGAATAGGAAATTAAGTCGGGTTAAATATGTATTGTGGTGAATAATATTGGTTTGGTCTGTCTTGTGGTGGCCTCTTTTTATTTTTTGGAAAATGTGTGCACCTCCTTTCAGAGTTGTCAGTGGGTAGCTATAACTAGTAGTTAAATATTTAGTTGTTGGATCTTGAGAGATTTTGTTATTGTATAGTTAAATGTTTCTCAGGTGGGTTTCGCTGGTGAAGGCTAACTACTCCTCCTGCACCGACAATTTTGAATGTATCCGTAACCAGCAGTTGGAGATATCGAAGTCCTTTTAGCGGTATAATTCCTCCATTGATATTTGATGAACTGCTTGAATAAATTTCGTGAACTAACTAGGTCAGAAATGTCCTTTAGATTTAATCTGTTCCTCAGTCGAAGCATGCAACGATGTTCTGGTGCCGAACCGTGGTAACTAACTAACTGTCAGGCCTATCCGCCTTCTTACGTAATCCGCACCGTATATAACTTCCGCGTAGCTAGCGATCGCTTCATAACCAATCAAGCAATCTATCCTTCACACTAACTACATGATGGATCAGTCAATTAATTAGGTTATTTCTCTAATAGTATCCGTTTCCAAATCTCCAGGTCTCAGAACCCTCCCGTTGCACACGATATTTAACAGTTCTTCTTCAGTTATCAAGATTATATGTAAATTACATCAATCTATACCCTCTTGGTTATCATCTCAGACAGTCATCCTACAAATTCAACAGGGGACCGCTGAATACTTCGCCCGCCCGTCTGTCTACAGCAACAACAACAACCCACCAAAGAAGACCAAAAAAAAAAAAAAAAAAAAAAAAAAAGAGGGAATGTCAAAAGCGACCCTTTCATCCATGCTTTCGAGCACTCTGGCTTCTATAACTCTAAACACGGGACATGGGAGTGCAACTCAACTGAGCCAGCAGAAGGCAGAACGCCCCTCACAGATCAAATTTGTGCGAGCAGCACAGATGAGCCTTTTTGCAGATATTACCAGCTGGCCGCCCTTGGGCCAGGTTACATGCCTGAAAAGGAGTGCGGATCACGATAAGGTACGGCGGATAGTGTTATCTGAGCAGACTTCTTTCTTGGCCTCTTCCGTAATACGACATTTTATCTCATAAGTTGCAATTGCTTACTTTAAATTATTGAGGTTTTTTATCTAGCTGTCTCTTGGCCGAAATGCAGATGCTAAACGCCATAAATTATAGTTGCTAATACTTCATAGCTCCTCTTTACCGTCCAGCTCAAGTCAAGCCGCTCGTTTCCTGAGCAGACCTGGGAGGTTTCCATCTGGCATAATGTTAACAATAACGATTCATGGGAAGCACTTCCTTTGCAAAAGAGTTCGACGTCACAAACTATTCCCATGGCAGTGGGCCCTGGACCAGGGCTAAACTATCACACCTACACATTCTCCCAGGAACTCGACTTCCCGAAACAGGGTAAGCATGCCGCTTTTACTATAAGATATAGAATTGATGCAGAGTCTTCTTGGACATGGGTGAAGGATCAATTTGGGACGAAAGATGGCGAATTGGTTTTTGAACCTTTCAGCTCTCAACTTCTCAAAAGCCTTGAGCCCGTGGTCCAGGAGTCAAAGTTGACTGAGTATTTGGATCACTTTAATCCGAAGCTCGAGATTGAGACACGCTTAAGCGAGTCCCCCGGGGCACTCTTGTGGAGCGTGACAGGCACTGTCCTATCCGCGGTTGATAACCAGAGCAGTCGCGAGAAAATAAATTTCGGCCTCCCGAAGGACTTCGTTAGATATTATGCTCTTGTCCGTATATGGGAACCTTGGATTGCACCACGACACGGCATGAAAAACCTGGCTTTGACAGAGGACGCCATTTTTCTGTCATTTTTGCGCAAAGATGGAACGCACCTTGTTCTCCTTGCTATCAGTGGGGTGGATAACGTCATGACTCTATTTAATTCCGGAGACGAAGGCCAGATTGTGGCGGTTGTGAGGAATGACAATTTCCACAACTCCAACTTTCAGGTTCTAGTTGCAGTGGCACCTTCTTTCGAGGTCGCGAAAAGCGCCGTAATGTATGAGTCGCGAAAAGTCGTGAGACAGATTTCTGGAACTAGGTCCGCAACTTTAACTACGCCGCAGGAGCTGAATGAGCCGAAATCACCGTTGGGCAATGATATTGTTCTCGTGGAGGATGACCCTCAGGTTCAATGGATGTCTGATTGGTATGACGGCTTAGCTTATTGTACTTGGAATGCTCTAGGACAGGACTTGACAGAGGAAAAAATATTAAAAGCCCTCGATATTCTAAAAGCAAATGGCATCAATATTGTCAACCTCATCATAGATGATAATTGGCAGGCATTGGACAAAAAGGGCGAAGATCAGTTTAAACGTGGCTGGATGGAATTCGAAGCGAATAAGGAAGGGTTTCCAAATGGGTTGAAGCATACAATCAGTAAAATACGCCACAAGCACCCAAATATCCAGCATATTGCCGTTTGGCATGCCCTTCTCGGATATTGGGGTGGTATCTCACCTGACGGTCAGATTGCAAAAACGTATAAAACAAAGATCGTCAAAAAGGTTGATGGCATTTCCGGTGGGAGTATGCTGGTTGTCGACCCGGATGATATTTACCGGTTCTATGACGATATGTATAAATTTCTTTTGGAGGCTGGAGTTGACTCCGTCAAAACCGATGCGCAATTTTTCCTCGACATGTTGCAGGATCCCACTGACCGAATCCGATTTACGACGGCGTATCAAGATGCGTGGTCCATTGCGTCGCTGCGTTATTTCCAAGCCAAAGCAATCAGCTGCATGTCGCAGGCGCCACAGATCATTTTTCACTCCCAGATACCGACAAACAAGCCACGGATTCTCCTAAGGAACTCTGACGATTTCTTTCCCGATGTCTCCACGTCCCACCCGTGGCACGTTTTCTGTAATGCACATAACGCCCTCTTTACACGGCATCTTAACGTGATCCCTGACTGGGACATGTTCCAGACCAGCCACCCGTATGCATCCTTCCACGCAGCAGCTAGATGTGTTTCTGGCGGCCCAATATACATCACCGATGTGCCAGGTGAACACGATATCAATCTTATCAATCAGATGACGGCTCCGACAACCGAAGGCAACACGATTATTCTTCGGACAAGCGTTCTAGGAACCTCAATTGATGTATACCACAATTACAACGAAGGCCAGATGCTCAGGGTAGGCTGTTACACAGGCTGGGCAAAATCTGGAAGTGGTATCCTAGGCCTCTTCAACATCCGCGCTGGGAAAACCACCTCACTAGTCTCCATCCTTGATTTCCCAGGCATTTCTCCTGGTAGCAGTGACAAGTATGTGATACGCGCACATTCTTCTGGGGCCATCTCGCCAATAATGAAACCTTCAGACCAAGCCTCACTGGTTTCCGTATCTCTGGAAACAAAAGGCTGGGAAATTTTAACGATGTTCCCTGTCAGGACATTTACAATGCAAAATATACAAAGAAGTAAGGATATTCATTCAAATAGCAGAGGTGCCACGATACACACCGATGTCGCTATTCTAGGCCTCTTGGGAAAAATGACTGGAGTTGCTGCTATTGTAACTTCAGAAATTTTCCTTATCGCTAATAGCAGGCTCAAATTTAACATTAATTTAAAGGCATTGGGAACATTGGGTGTATATATATCTGATTCTACCTGTCGCACTGTGGAGGAAAACTTCCTGGTGTTGCTCCACGGGGAGGTGGTTCCGATGCACACTGTTCAACTGAAGGTTGCAGGAGATGGGACTGGGAAGACAGTGCTTGCTATTGATGTTGAGACCGCGTGGAAGGAGTTGGGTTTAGTTAGCGGTTGGAGCAATGAAGTGGTTGTTCAGATTTTTATGAGTTGAATCATGATTTTGCTGATTTGTTCGCCCGGATAAAGGTGGTCGGGGCTGGGGTCTGATATTGTGATGTTTCTTATTTCAAGACTTGGTTGTTCGACGCTTGAGAAGTTTATGTCGATTTGGTGAATTTCATATTTCTGAATTATTTTTGACATTGCATGATCCTAGTCCAACTGAGTAGCTTCCATGGTTTTTCGTGTCATCCGTACAGAGAGTAGAAGAGCGTCTATTTATTGTTGAAGGTTTAACCAACGAAGCGTCTAAATTTTTGCCTTCTCAGGTTCCAATGGAGAGTTCTAACCCCAACCGGGCTATCGTTGATCCGCAGTCTGCAAGCAAACTTTGAGAAAAAGTCTCGGATTGAACCTTTTAGTCTGAGGAAGACATCTGTATTTTCACAACAGGTTGAAGTGATTAACGCGTCCAATTGATATAAGGGTAGTAGCCTGAGATCACTGCGATTCCAAAATGTCTGTATTTTCTTAGCTCCGCCATCGATTCATCCGAATGATGGCGCAATTTCGGTCGTTCCCTGCCTGCTCGCTCTCCATGCTTCCTTACCCCCAGTTCATGATGTTTCTCCGACCACAGCCTGCCGATGTGGGGAGAATGTCACTAGGAGGAGCGAAATGCTCCAGCATCATGACAGCCCCTTTGCTCCAAGCACGCAATATCACACAAAATCATATCCGGCGGATGCGGGAGGCGGAGGAAACGTGGAAAGGGTATGCAGAGGAAATCAAGGCTGGCAATAGAAAGAGCTTTTTGGAACTTATGGAAGAACGGGGTTTGGTTAACCAAGTTGTTGGGTATGTTAGCTACCTAATCTCCCTGGAGAGAATAAGCATTGGAATGAATATGCCCTTATACTGGCGACGTTTCATGTTGCGCGACACGACTTGCGTCTTCCGCTAACGCAATTGTGCGTACTGTAGTGACCGAGATGCATTGAATAAAATGTGGACGGAAAGAAGAGTAGGAGTATACGTTGGTGTCGATCCTACAGCCCCGTCTCTGCATATTGGACACATGCTACCATTTATGGTTCTGGCATGGGCTTATGTCCACGGTATCAGATCGGTTTTTCTGGTGAGCACATGTTGCTTTTACGCTCTTCCACGCTATATACTTGTCCAAGTAAGTATGGAGCTGTATTATGTAGCATATCACTAATTCAAATAACAGCTAGGCGGGTCCACAAGTCAAATTGGCGACCCTACAGACAGAGAAGCCCCCAGAGCTAAACAGGCCAGAATTACGCGCAAAGAGAATATGGTGAACATGCATCTCCAACTTAGAATTTTCGGGATGTCTATCGAGAGGTACGGGGCTAAACATGGATACGCATATGAACCTATATGGAGACGGGCAATCGTGAATAATAATGCATGGTGGCTCAAGGCGCCGTTCATGGAGGTCATGAAAACCATGGGAGAGAGTGTGCGATTGGGGCCGATGCTTGGGCGGGATACGTACGTATACGCACCCTTCACTATTTGTCTAGTATAGGATTCTGTTAGGTGTCTTCCGGACGAGGGCGGCTGACACAATACGGCTTTGCAGTGTTAAGAATCGTTTACAGAGCGGGAAAGGCATGTCCCTGGCGGAATTTACATATCCTCTTCTGCAAGCATGGGATTGGTGGCAACTCATCCAACAACAAAACATTTTGGTGCAAGTTGGCGGGTCCGACCAGGCTGGAAATATTCAATTTGGCATCGATGCGACGAAAGCTCTGATGAAAGCGGACCAGGACTACTGGCGAAAGCATGCTCCGAATCCTGAAGACCGGGAAATATTGGAGCCTATGGGGTTTACTACACCTCTCCTCACAACCCCATCAGGGGAGAAGTTTGGAAAGACAGCGGGAAATGCTGTCTGGTTAGATAAGGACATGACTCCGACTTTTGACCTCTACCAGGTAAGAGATCTGTTCCTTCTGATTGTCCATTTACTACAATAGCGTTACAGGAAACTTACCGTCTATAGTTTTTCATACGGGTTCCGGACGAGAATGTTGAACAATATTTGAAATATTTTACCTTCCTCTCTATACCCACAATCAAGAAAATCATGGTACAGCACATGGAGGACCCGTCTAAGAGAGTCGCACAGCACAAACTGGCTTCCGAATTCGTCGAACTTATGCGCGGGCCTGCGGAAGCCGCCCAAGCTGAGAAGGACCATCGAAGCCTTTTTGGAAGCCTTTTTGGAGGGCAAGTATCCACGGCCCTAGAAATGGAGGCCCGCCCAAAACGTGATATCAATCTTTCAGAAACGAGCCCTTTTAGGGTGCCATCCCCACATGTTACTCTCCCAAGATCATTGGTCGTTGGACAGTTTTTCCACAAGGTTCTTTGGTCAGCAGGGCTCGCATCATCAAAGGCAGAAGCAATGCGGCTTATCTTACAAAACGGAGCGGCTGTCGCGTCAAGATCAGACTCCAAGGCCGTTATGGATGACAAATTGTCCTATGTTCCGATCAAGACTTGGAACAAAGATGAAACAGCAAAATTTATCATTGACGATTCTCTGCTGATCTTGAGGATTGGGAAATGGAAAGTGAAGATCGTAAAAATCGTGAGCGATGAGGATTATGAGAAACTAGGCCTACAAGCTCCAGGATGGAGGGAGGAGGAAGAGGAAGCTGAGGTGAAATCGGGAGATGTGAGAGTCGAATGAATCATCCAGGTAAGATGGATTTCTCCTCTCGTTTTTCCCGCTCCGTTCCGCCTGACCTGTTAATAGCGATATGCTGTATACTTTTACGGATTTTTCTTCCTTCTACTTCTTTGTTTTTCTGTTTTGTGGACCTGTAAATTAGATTAGATACTTGATTCCCGTTATCCCTACCTGCTTAGCTCCGTCTCCTCTTCTCCTTTTGTGTCTTAATCTTCGTTTGTCGGGGAACACATTTCATTTTTCTATCATGATGCCTTTTAATACTTCTTCCTTTTGCTAGTAACCTCTAGCTCTGTATGCTTTTTTTATTATTATTATTACTTATTTAACGCCTGGAGGCACGTGATCAGCTGACTAAGAATAGTCTGCTGTCGCGGCCACAGCACCTCCCTAAGGGTATCAGGTGTGCCAGCGCAGCAGCTAGTCTGCTGCCTGACATGTCTAGTCGGCCGAAGCCCTCTTGAGAGTCTATGTACAGAGTAGCCCCTGTCCTGGAGGTTCTGAATGGCGTAGTAGCTGAAGATTACAGGACTGAGGAAGCCAAGGGCTTCTAGGGTGGTGTGTAGAGGTGATGAGAAATGTATATAAGGAGCATAGGAAAGAGAGAGGGGGAGAGAGAAGTCAGATGTTGAACAGGTTCTAGTAGCAGTGTTGGATGTTGATGAAGAAGCAGGTATTAGTGCATCAGATAGGGAAGGTTGTAGCTTCTCTTACTGTGCTGAGAAGTCAGTCAATTGCTTTCTTTGATTCTCAGCATGCTTCAGAGGTTTTAATTCATTCAATGTTCCAGCCTTTCCAGCAAAAGAAGAAGTGCTCAGGAGTCTTATCTCAGCTGCAAGAGCAGGTGAGAAGTGTGTCATCATGTGCTCATCTGTGATGATAGGCTGTGAAGTCACTGTGATCTGTTCTAGCTGCCAGCAAGTGGCCTAGATTTCTTCAGAGAAGAGTGAGCTCAGAGGAGGATTCTTTTGACATTGAAATATTGAGGTTCTTGTATTGTGATGTGCTATTGAAGCTCCAGTATTGTTGCAGTGAGGCATTGAAGTGTTCTTTAGCATAGAATTTGACTCACACCAGAGTCAGAGTGCAGTGAGTGCATTTCATTGTGCAGACTGACTTGGCTGCAGCATCTGCAGCATCATTGTCTGGAATCCCAGCATGGTCAGAGCATCATTGAACATAGATCCATCTTGGGCCAGCTGGACCTGAGCTCTGTTTTGTCCAGAATCTGCAGAGTTCATTGAACTTAGCAAAAATGAGAAAAGATGTTTGTGTGAGTGTGTCTGTGTGAAGTCTTATTGCAGTCTCTTCATTGTCTAGAGTCACTATAATGTGCTGTGTGAACATAGAGAAGGAGTTCTGTAGTGCTGTCTTGAGATCAGCAACTGCTGCAAGCACTTCAGCATCAAAGACCTCAGCAGTGCAGCTCAGAGGCAGCTTATCAAGCTTCAGAGATTGATTTGTTCCTCAGTATAGATAGTAGTCTCTGTCTGAAACTTCTTGACTGTCTTTGAAGCCATCAGTATATGTGATGAGATTGAGAGGGGATACAGCTTTCTGAAGTCAGTTTTGAAAAGCTGCTGATTCTGCAGCTTGTCCCACAGCCTCAATTTCTAGTGTCTTTTGCTCTCTATTTGATATGCCAGAATTGTCTCAAGAAGGCAAGAACTCTGAGCTGGGTGTGATGGTCATCATTTTAATGTTTCATCTAATTCATTTAAAATGTGAGATGTATCATCTTTGATGTAGAGAATGTGACAGATCAGCTGCAGCTATGTGAACAGCTAGTCAGTCATGTATTCTTTCTAGTCAGACTTTGACTGAGCCTCAGCTTGATTCACATAGAAGAACAGAGGTAGATGTTGTGACAAAGACAGGTAGAATGACTCAAGCAGCATTGTTGAAGACTATCTGAATCTTGTCAATGACTGTCTGAGAGGTTCACTTCAAGAACCAGGTCTCAGCTTCATAAAACAGAGTGCTGAAGGCACAGCTTTGAGTTGCTTGTCTGAGTAAATGTGTTTGATTTTCAAATGAGACTTCATTTAGTGATTTAACATGTTCTGTAACAATTCTGGCTCAAGTGCACACAAGGTGAATATGTTCTCTGAAGAGTAACTTTCTGTCAAAGAAAATCTCTAGTCATCTGATGTAGTTATTGAGGGAAATTGTCTGTTCATTAAAGGAGATGAAGGGCTCTGAGTACTTGATCTTTTTATGAAAGTATTGAAGCTCTGTCTTGGCTGGGTCAAATGAGATTTCATTGTCAATACCTCATTTCAGAGTGTGATTGAGAGAATTCTGAAGCTGACTTTCTACTC